CACACACACACACACACACACACACACACACACACACACATACACACACACACACACACAGACACACACACACACACACAGACACACACACATACACACCCCGGGTTATTTAGTTTTATCTGCTGGTTTTTAAAGGCTTTCCAATCTTCTGGCTTCCCACTAATCTTCACCACATTGTATGCTTTTTCTTTTGCTTTTATGCTATCCTTTACTTCCCTGGTCAGCCATTGTTGCCTCATCCTCCCCTTTGTATGTTTATTCCTCCTTGTGATGAATTTCTGCTGTGCCTCTCAAATTACCCCCAGAAACTCCTGCCGTTGCTGCTCCACCATCTTCCTTGCAGGTTCCACTTCCAATCAACTCTGGCCAGCTCCTGTCTCATGTCTCTGCAGTTACCTTTACTCAATTGTCACACCACTATGTCTGATTCAAGCTTCTCCCACTCAAACTGCTGGGTGAATTCTATCATATTACAGTCACTGCCTTCCAGGAGCTCCTTCACATTAAGCTCCTGAATCTAGTTTATCCCATTCCTGCTGACCTGCTGAGCTTTTCCAGCAACTTTGTTTTTGTTCCTGATTTGCAGCATCCGCAGTTCTTTTGGTTTTTATTTAGTATTTAACTCACTGCCACATCTCTTCCAGGCATGCCCACCTTGAAGAAGTTCTGCTCCTCTCTCCGACGGGATTTCCGTTCCAATCTCTCTTCTTGCCCACCAACATTAATTTCGCTGTCACTCCTGGTGTTTGACCAGGTGTTTGCTAAAACTCATTTCCACAGCCATATCAAATTCCTCAGTGACTGCCTCCGGTTCAGACTCACCCCACGCGGATTCCAACTGAAGTTTCATCCCTCCTATTTTGAATCCTCCCAGGATCACAGATATCTCCGTGATGTTCAATGTTCCACAGACAGCTGCTCTCGCCGCATCCTGAGATCCACCCTCAGTGCCACGCAGCACCACATGCGCACTCTCAACCTTTCTCTCCAACAGCATCGCAACATACTGGCTCAGGGTTGCCCCACTCCGCAGTTCCACTTCATCCTCCGGCTCATTTGTCGTGCTAACAAGAAACTTTTTCTTTACCTTTCAGGCTCAAGGCCCACAAGATGCAACAACTCAAAAATACCCATGGCCCTCTGGAACCTACCTCTCCTCCCCTTCCCTCTGACTCTATCACCTCCCCCAATGCCCCGACCTCCTGTCGGATATTCATCATCCCTCCTAACCTTCTGCTCTCTAATGCTGAACGCTCTGTACTCAGCAAATACCTCAGCTTTATCCATCTGCGTCCCCACCTTAACAAATTTCAGGCACGACAAGACGCCGAACTGTTCTTCCGCCATCTTCGCCTCCGTGCTCACTTCTTTAGACAAGAGTCCTCTCCCCGTCCCACAGACCCCTTTTCCCAACTCCAACACTCTCCCTCCAGCTGGACCCCTCCCTCCGGCCTTTTACCTGCACTCGATCTTTGCATTGAGAACTGTCGAAGTGACATTAGTCGCCTCAATTTCACTGCCCCTCTCAACAAATCCAACCTATCTCCCTCCAAACTGACAGCACTCATTGCATTTAGATCTAACCCTGACTTTGTCATCAAGCCTGCTGATAAGGGTGGTGCTGTGGTAGTCTGGCGTACTGACCTCTACCTTGCAGAAGCTGAGCGCCAGCTCTCAGATACCTCCTCCTACCTTCCCCTGGACCATGACCCCACCATGGCACATCAGGCCATTGTATCCACTACAGTTATGGATCTCATTTCATCCAGTGATCTCCCCCAATCCGCCTCCAAGCTAATAGTCCCCCAACCCTGCAAAGCTCGTTTCTACCTCCTGCCAAAAGTCCACAAACAGGACTGTCCAGGTAGACCCATTGTTTTAGCCTGCTCATGCCCCATAGAACTCATCTCTTCCTACCTTGACTCAGTCTTCTGCCTCCTGGTCCAATCCCTACCCACATACATCCATGATTCATCTGACGCCTTACGCTGGTTTCAAAGCTTCCAGTTTACTGGCTCCAGCCACCTCCTCTTTACCATGGATGTGCAATCCCTTTCCACATCCATTCCCCACCAGGAGGGTCTCAGGGCTCTCCGCTTCTTCCTGGAGCAAAGACCTGAACCATCCCCACCCACCACCACCCTCCTCCGCTTGGCTGAGCTTGTCCTCACCCTCAACAACTTCTCTTTCAACTCCTCTCATTTTCTTCAGGTAAGAGGGGTTGCCATGGGTACCCACATGGGACCTAGTTATGCCTGTCTCTTCGTGGGGTACATGGAACATTCCTTGTTCCAGTTCCATTCCGGCCCCCACCCACAACTCTTTCTCCGATACATTGATGATATCATCGGTGCTGCTTCCCTCTCTCGTCTAGAATTGGAAAACTTCATCAATTTTGCCTCCAATTTCCACCCTGCCCTCACTTTCACCTGGTCTATCTCTGACTCCTCCCTTCCCTTCCTCGACATCTCTGTTTCCATTTCTGGGGATAGACTGGCCACTAATATCCATTACAAACCCACTGACTCCCACAGCTATCTGGACTATACATCCTCACACCCCACTTCCTGTAAAGACTCCATCCCATTCTTTCACTTCCTCCGTGTCCGTCGCATATGTTCAGATGAGGACAGCTTCGACAAGGGAGCCTCTGAAATGTCCACATTCTTCCTCAACCGAGGATTCCCCAGCTCCGTTGTCGACAGGGCCCTCTATTGGGTCCGACCCATCTCCCGCACTTCTGCCCTCACCCCTTATCTTCCCTCCCGCAACAGCGATAGGGTTCCCCTTATCCTCACCTACCATCCCACCAGCGTCCACATCCAGAAGATCATCAGACACTATTTCTGCCACCTCCAGCAAGATGCCACCACCAGACACATATTCCCCTCCCTTCCCTTGTCCGCCTTCCACAGGGACCGTTCCCTCTGGGACACCCTGGTCCACACTTCCTTCACCCCCAACACCTCCCCACAGCCCTACGGCACCTTCCCCTGTAACCGGCGAAGGTGCAACACCTGTCCAGTTACCTCCCCCTTCACCAGTATCCAAGGGCCCAAACATGCGTTCCAGGTGAACCAACACTTCACCTGCACTTCCAAGAATCTAATCTACTGCATTCGCTGCTCACAATGTGGTCTCCTCTACATTGGGGAAATGAAGCATAGATTTGGTGACTGCTTCGCAGAACATCTACGTTCTGCTCGCAAAAAAGACCCTGAACTACCTGTTGCCTGCCACTTCAATGCACCACCTTGCTCCCCGGCCAACATTTCTATCTCCGGCTTGCTACATTGTTCCAGTGAAGCCCAACGCAAGCTGGAGGACCAGCACCTCATTTTCCGCTTGGGGACCCTACAGCCCTCTGGACTCAATATTGAATTCAATAATTTTAGGGCCTAAACTCTCCCGTGTCCCAGCCCCCCACCCCACACACCAGGCCTTGTTATCACATAGCCTACCATTACACACCCCCTGTTGTTAGTCACTAACAAGCCCCATCAACAACTACTCACCCTCCCAGCCTGATGGTTAGCAACCCCTTTGTCTGTCCAACTGTCTTTCCCTCTCTTTGGGCTCTATCCTATCATTTGCTCCCTACCCCACCCACCTCCCTATTTTCGGCATATAAACTGACGTTTTCCCAGCCACCATCAGTTCTAAGGAAGGGTCACCGGGCCCGAAATGTAGCTCCGTTTTCTCCTCCACAGATGCTGACTGACCTGCTGAGCTCTTCCAGCAACTTTGTTTTTTATCCCATTCCACATCACTAAAGCTAGAATTACCTATTCCCTAGGGGGCTCTACCACAAGATATTCCAAAAAAAAGCATCTCATAGACATTCCACAAATTTCTTTCCTTGAGATCCTTTACCAATCTAATTATTCCAGTTCACCTGCAGATTGAAGTCCTCCATGATTATTGTAATAATGCCTTTCTCTCATGCTGTTTCTATCTCCTGACTTATTTTCTTCCCCATTTTCTGACTACTGCTAGGAGCCCTGAGCACAACTCCCATCAGGGTCTTTATTCCTTTGTGATTCCTCTACTGTACTCTCCCAGATTCTATGTTTTCTGACTCTACATCACTTCTTGTTAATAGTATAAATTTATTTCTTACTAACATTGCAACCCCACCCCTCTGCCTATCTGTCTGTCCTTTCGATAGAACGTGTATGTTTGGATATTTAGTTCCCAGCTCTGATCCCCTTGCAGCCATGTCCCTGTGCTATCGCACCTGCAAATTTCAATCTGTGCTACAAATTCATTTACCTTGTTTTGTATACTGTGTGCATTTAAGTACAACACCCTCAGCCCTGCTTTGACTGCTCCCTTTCTCATAGTTGTCCCCTTATTTGCTGTACCGAAAGTTACATTCCTGAGCCTTTCCATATTCTCTGCCCTATTACTTGTTCTGGGAACTTTAATGACCTCTGCTTTAAAGATCTTCCCCACCCTTTAATCTTTTTTCCATAATTTTCCATGTAACTGAACTCCATCTCCTTCCACCACCCCACCCCCCAATTAGTTTAAAGCCCTATCACAGCCCTACTTATGCGATTCATCAGGACTCTAGTCCCAGCATGATTCAAGAGGAGCCTGTCCCATCCCTCTGTCGCCAGTACTGATGCCAATGTCCCTTTAATTTGAGCCCATTTCTCCCACACCAATCTTTGAGCCAGGTGTTTACATCTTTAACCTTTAGTCAGACAAGGCTACAGAATTCCTTCAACAGAACCACAATTTATTCCATAGAAGAAAACAAAAACAAACTGAGCTATCTAAATAAAGAATAATTACATAGAACGGTACAGCACAATACAGGCCCTTCGGCCCACGATGTTGTGCTGAACTTTTACACTAATCCTAAAGTCTATCTAACCTCCACCCCTACCTTATACTATCATTGATCACATCTGGAGTATTATGTCCTGTTGTGGTCGCCTCATTACAGGAAAGATGTGGAAGCGTTGGAAAAGGTGCAGAGGAGATTTACAAGGATGTTGCCTGGAATGGAGGGAAGGTCTTATGAGGAAAGGTTCAGACAGCTAGGGCTTTTCTCTTTAGAACAAGAGTGGTGACTTGATAGAGGTGTACAAAATGATCAGAGGTATAGATAGAGTGGACAGCCAGAGACTTTTTCGTAGGGTGGAGGTAGCTATTTCAAGGGGGCATAGTTTTAAAGTGAGTAGAGATAGATATAGGGGAGACATCAGAGGTAGGTTCTTTACTCAGAGAGTGGTAGGAGTGTGGAATAGTTTGAAAGATCTTGTAAAATATTGCAAAACAAAATTCTCATTCCGCTTCCCAACACTATCCATTACTCAAATGTGGAGAAATTTGTCTGTTGTATCAAATATTTAGGTTCAACTTATTTTGCAGTTGCCTCTGTTGTGCATTTTGAAGCACCCGTGCATAAGCAAACAGAAATGAGGCCTGCACATCTGATAGGGGGTCAGTATGACTGTTTTTCATCTAAGTTAGTGAGTGAGGCACTCCACACCCAGTTTTCATTTATTCCTCATTCAATATACCTTGCGAGATGGAGACAGCAAGTAATTTCTTCACTAGAGAATTTAAATCAGATATTCGCATGAATTTCTTCATACAAAAGAAATACTACCTATTTAGAAGCATATTTACCAGATATTACAGTTGCAAACTTCAGGTTCATGATTAATTTTTGTTTTGGGGGACTCATCCAGTGAGGACAAATGGGTAGAGCTCAGGGATGGGAAGGGAGCAATCACTTTGATGAGATTGTGTTACAGGTCTCCCACCAGGTAATAGTTCCAGTCCACTAGAGAGAAGAAATTAGTGAGACAATTGTTTTTCCTCATCTTTAATAATAAACCTTAGTAGCAGATAGTGAAGGGGACTGTCGGAGAATGCAGCAGAATATAGATAGATTGGAGAGTTGGGCAGAGAAATGGCAAATGGAGTTCAATCCAGGCAAATGCGAGGTGATGCATTTTGGAAGATCCAATTCAAGAGCGAACTATATGGTAAATGGAAAAGCCCTGGGGAAAATTGATGCACAGAGAGATCTGGGTGTTCAGGTCCATTCTACCCTGAAGGTGGCAACGCAGGTCGATAGAGTGGTCAAGAAGGCATATGGCATGCTTTCATTCATCGGACGGGGTATTGAGTACAAGAGTTGGCAGGTCATGTTACAGTTGTACAGGATTTTGGTTCGACTACATTTGGAATACTGCGTACAGTCTGGTCGCCACATTACCAAAAGGATGTGGATGCTTTGGAGAGGGTGCAGAGGAGGTTCACCAGGAGGTTGCCTGGTATGGAGGGCACTAGCTATGAAGAGAGGTTGAGTAGATGAGGATTATTTACATTAGAAACACGGAGGTTGAGGGGGGACCTGATTGACGTCTACAAAATCATGAGAGGTATAGACAGGGTGGATAGCAAGAAGCTTTTTCCCAGAGTGGGGAACTCAATTACTAGGGGTCACGATTTCAAGGTGAGAGGGGAAAAGTTTAAGGGAGATATGCGTGGAAAGTTCTTTATGCAGAGGGTGGTAGGTGCCTGGAACGCGTTGCCAGCGGAGGTGGTAGAGGTGGGCACGATAGCGTCATTTAAGATGTATCTAGACAGATACATGAATGGGCGGGGAGCAGAGGGATACAGATCCTTGGAAAATAGGCGACAGGTTTAGATAGAGGATCTGGATCGGCGCAGGCTTGGAGGGCCGAAGGGCTTGTTCCTGTGCTGTAGTTTTCTTTGTTCTTTGTTCTTTATCTAACTTTATTTTGTTTGTATTTACCCATTTTCCATCAAAAAGTACAAATGCCTCTAACATGTAGTGCTTTATACAAAAGTATTAATTTACCGTGACCTTTCTATCGTAGATTGCAGGGGTGTTAGTGATACAGCAAAAATCAAAAATATGCGATTCCAAGTGCAGGTCAACCTGGAGGATTATATCAACGATCGTCAGTATGACTCCCGTGGACGGTTCAGTGATATTCTCCTGCTTCTTCCATCACTGCAGAGCATCACATGGCAGATGATTGAACAAATTCAGTTTGCCAGACTCTTTGGAGTGGCAAGAATTGATAATCTTTTGCAGGAAATGCTGTTGGGAGGTGAGAAACTGGTTTTATTTTTAGTTATAGACTGTTAATAAGACTAAGCTACCGTGTCACCTAACTTGTGTAACTCATGGTGAAACAATCACATAAATCTGTTTATGTAGGGAATTTTCTTTACAGTACCATTGATTATAAACCTTTACAATGTTAAGTCGATGTAAAAAATTCAACAAAAATTTGTGATAATAGAAAGTTGGGTCCAAGAATAGAAACTTTAACACAATACATAGATAGTGATATGATTTAAAAGATTTTGGTGAACCCACACACACACACACACACACACACACACACATACACTTACACACACTCACACACACACACACTCACACACACACAAATGGCAGCTGGCTCCTGGCCCTTGGTGAACCCTACCTTGAATTTTAGTTCCAGCTCTTGGACCCTGAATCCCTGGTCTCAGCCCCTAATACCCAGCTCTTGACAGGCATTCCCCAGCAACTCCCTCAATGACATGCTAACTGCTTGTTACTCCTCCAGTCACAAGTTGCCTCCTTCTTTACTGCAAATTTCTATGCTTCTATGTTTCACAAGCCAGTCAGCAACACTTGCACAAGAGAAGGAACCTGTGATTGGTGAAGTTGCTTGCCATTTCCTTTCATTTTATTTCGAAGGTAACATTTCTCTAAATATTTGCTCCTGTGAGTGAACTTTCTCAGCCATTTAAGGGGATTTGAGACAAATTCACCTGCTGCCTGTGTGTATTTTGAGTAATAGACCTCCAATATGGCATATTTTTTCAAAGGAAAAAGCATTTCAATTGCCTGAGAGCTGTGACTAGGAAAAAGGTTCTGCTGATGGAGTCAGAGAAATTAGGCATTAAGTTAAAAAGCAGAACCTCAAAGGTAATAACCTCTGGATTGCTAATTGTGCGATGTGAAAATTAACATAGAGCCATTAAGATTAGCGAGATTAATGCATGGCTCAAAGTGTGTGGGAGAAGTGGTGTCTACACCTGAATTTTGCTGGGAATGTTGTTCCAGTGAGACAATTTACTAGGAGCGTAGGGAGGGCTTTAAACTAAACAAGGAATGTGAGGGGTCAAGCTTCGGTAAATTTAACAGATCAATGAGTAGAATTGAAGCAGGAGAACAAAATAGTAGCATGAGAAATGGATGTCAGAGACTGGCAGGACAGAGATAAAAGAAATCCTATGAATGTACCAACAGTAAAGAATAGATGTTACAAAGATAACAAGAAGACAAAATGAAAGACTCTCTACCTGAATGTGCACAGAACTCATGATAAAATAAACAAATTGATAGTGCACATTGATGTGAATAAATATGAAGAAGAGTCATCTACACTCAAAACATTAGCTTGTCCTCTCTCCTTGGATGCTGTCTGATCCACTGTGATCTCCAGCATCTGTTGTTTTCAGTACAGATTGCAGCATCTGCAGTAATTTCTCCTATGATTGAAATTTACACATGGTAAAAGGAGAAGTGTGGTTCAAAGATTAGTATTTTAAGCTTAAATAAAGGTTGAAAGCTGAACCAGCTTTGAACTGGGATACTGGCTAGGGGATGGATATATGGAGAAGCAGTGGCTGATCTTTAAAGGGACATTTCAGAATACTCAGAATAAGAATATTCCTTATATAAAGTAAAATTCCAAAGGGACATCCGTTCATCTACATTTAACGAAAGAAGTTAAGGAAAGTATCATATTTAAGGAAAAATATATAAACGCATCAAAGATGAGAGGCAGGTCAGATGATTGTTCAAAAAATAAAGAATGGAAGAGAATAACTGGAAGGTTAATTAGGAGAAAGAAATTAAGAAGCCAGCTAGGAATGTAAAAACAGGGAGTAAGAGTTTACACAGAAATCTAAAAGGGAAACAAATAAATAAAATGAGTTCTGAAGACATAATACTGGGCTCAAAACTTTAACTCTATTTCTCTCTCCAGAGATGCTACCAGACCTGTTGAGTTAGTCCTGCATTTGCCGTGTTTGTTTCTGATTTCCGGCATCTGGAGTATTTTGCTTTTAATTTAAAAAAAATGAGTGTTGGTCTTCCAGAGATTGAGAATAGGGAGTTAGTAGTAAACTACAGGGAAATGGCAAATGAAATGAAAAAACATTTTCACAATAGAGGTTACAAAAAACGCCATAATAATAGCTACAAATCTGGAGGTAGAAGGGAGAAAGGAACTTGGTAAAATTATAATCAGTAAAGTAGTACTGAGAAAACTGGTGGAGCTTTGGGTTATAACTCCCTGAGTCCTGATTATGTTCATCCTAGGATCTCAAAAGAAATGGTCAATGAGAAGTAAAGGCATTAGTGTTAATTTTCAAGAACTTATTGAATTCTGGAAAATAGAAATGTAACCCAGTTATTTAAGAAGGAAGGAAGGCAGAAAACAGGAAACCATAGGCCCAAAAGCTAATGTCTGTTGTAGGCAAATCAATCATTAAGGAGGCTATAGTTGGGCACTTAGAAAAAGTCAAGGTAAGCAGAAAGAGTCCACATGTTTTTTTTGAAAGGGTGTTGATGTTTAATCAATTTATTGGAGTTCTTTGAAGGAGAAACATGCACTATTGGAAAGGGGAGCCTATTGATGTACTGCACTTGGATTTGCAAAAGGAAATTTAGAAGGCACCACATAGAGGTTATTCTGCAAAGTAGTACATGTTGTAGGGAATAACATACTAGCATAGATAAAAGATTGGCCGTCTGGCAGAAAACAGAGTCTGCATGAATAGGTGTTTTGTCTAATCGGCAGGATGTGTGGGTGGGCCTCCTCTGGTGTCAAATTGTTTTTCTCTAACAAGGGCATGGTTCCCTAATGTTCACATGACACATCGGTTGGAAAGTATGTTCTGAAGATGACATAAGGGAGTTGCAAGCTGATATAGATAGGAAGAGTGAAAAACGGTGCATTAACTAAGCAGAGAATGGCTACAGAATTCTAAGATGCAGAGGTATGCAGGTGTTGCAGTACATGAATCATACAAAGTTAGTATGCAGGTCCAAGAGGTCATTAAGAAGGTATTGGAATAATATACATTATTATGAGAGAAATTGAACATAAAATTAAAGATGTCTAGAATACCTTGTCTAGAATGCTGTGCACAGTTTTGGTCTCCTTATTTAAGAACTGACGTAAAAGTGTTAGAGGTGTTTCAAAGGAGGTTCAGTAGAATGATACCTCTTGAATGAGTGGGTTGTTTTATGAGGTTAGGGGGGACAGACTGGGCTTGTCTATGTTGTAATTTTGAAGAGTCATAGATGCCTTAATTAAATTATGAGAATCTGAGTGTGCATGGTGAACAAAGTGGATTCACAAATAGCATTTCCTTTTGTGAGGGAAATGGTGGTGGGGGAGAGTATTTTAAAATTAGGGGCTGCCCTTTTAGGACAGAGATGAAGAGAATTTTTTTTTCTCTCAGAGGTTATGTGAATTTGGAGTCAGAAAAAGGGAGCAGGAGTAGGCCATTTCGCCCTTCGAGCCTGCTTCTCCATTCAATATGATCACGGCTGATCCACTACCCTGTTCCTGCTTTCCTCCCACACCCTTTTATCCTTTTAGCCCTAAGGCTATATCTACCTCTTTCTTGAAAACATTCAATGTTTAGGCCTCTATCTCTTTTTGTGGCAGAGAATTCCACAGCTCATCACTCTCTGGAAAAGGAAACTTCACCTCATCTCAGTCCTATGTGGCCTATCTGTACCTTTGGAAGTCTTCGCCTTAGAAGCTGGTAGAGGAAGGGCCGTGGAATACTTTTATGGTGGAGATAGATAAATTGTTGTTAGGCAAGGGAATCAAAGCTTATTGGGCAAAGATGGAAAGGTGAAATTCAAAATTGAGACTGATCAGACGTGATCTTATTGAATGGTGAAGCAAGTTTGAGGAGCCAAATGGCCTGTTACTGTTAATAATTCAGATTTTTGTATGTTTGAATGAGTCAAAAAACACACAAAATAGATTTTTTGTGAAAGTAAAAGAAGATTAGTAAATAGTTGATTGCCATCATCGATGTGTGCGACCAGCTTGGTTAACTGGACGACTGCTTTGGGACCCAAATGCCAACAGCACAAGTTCAATTCCCACACTGCCTTCTCAACTTCATCCCTTGCCTGAGGCATGGTGACCCTAATGCTAAAATTACCACCAATTATCTTCTCTTTAATGAGAGAGTGGGACTATGGTGATTGTGTGTACCTACAACAGCACCCACTCTGTTTACACACAAAATGTGCAACGTTCATTTTTACACTTGAGTCTTGTGAATTGGAAGCTTGAAACAATGCATGCTTGATGATTTCCTTTTGGCCCACTGGAGAAAATTGAGCTTGAAAGTTTCAATGAAACATTGTATGTAACAGTTGGTTTCTGGGCATTGCTCCAATTGAAGGTGCAATTGAGTCCATGTAGCAAAGATCTGTCTTGGTTCTGTAAGATGATAGAGGGGATACTAGACCCACTTTTCTGCCTGTTAGGGGATCGTAAGCAAGATTCCTTCTTTTTGTGGAAGAATCTTTTCCCTTTGAAACTCTTTGTCCCCCAGACTGACTGATCTGAGGCTAATCCCAAGATGTTCATCATATCCATCCTACAGTATTCCATTCTGGTCTCAGTATATATTTGGGTTCATGTGCACCAGCTTCAGTCAGTATTTGGACAATAGCAGCTGCTAACTCCACAGGAAAGATCAGTCACAATTTAATGTCTTCTCGATGGTTTGTTCAACAGAGCTTATTTATATTTTCATGTTCTGATGTTATAAGCAAACTACCTTACAGCCGTGGGCAATTTTGTGTATATATTGTCAGGCAAAGAAAGAAATATGCTGATCCCTCTACCTTATTACAACACAGATTGTCCATTCTGCATTCTTTGTAAGAAAACAAAACAAATTAATTATTTTTCAAAACTCCGTGGGAATTCCTGATTGGATGTGACATTTTTACAATCTGAATATCCAAGTGAACTGAAATATAACTAAAATACAATTATTTTACAATTGCAAGTAATGCTATCAATGTTATTTAATGTGAAGTGCTGTGTGCCATTCCTAATTACTAGTCTTTTCTAAATTCTATTCTGTAAAATTATTTGTTTACCTTGCTTATTTAGCAAGTGAATATTGAAGCAGGATCCTTATTATTGGAGGTTAAAGTCAGATGAAAATGACTCTTTATTCATGTTGTGAAATAAACAACATCTGTTAAATTTACTAGAACATGAATTCTCAGCGTACAATTACTGCAAAGGTTGCATTATGTAAAATGTGTAAAGATGATTCCAATATTTTGTTCAAGTGAATCCAATCACTTCACAAATTGCAGATTTTACAAAATTTCAAAAAAACAGTCTTTACTTGAAAAATATTAACCTGTAATCTCAGAATTGAAGGAGTCTTCAAAACTGGGATTTGGATAGCCTAAATGAGTTGGAACCATTTGGCAGATGAAGAACTATGCATGAAGGAAAGTTAACCAGGTTGAGCCATTGGAGCCTAAAGAATGAAAGTTGATCTAATTGAAGCATATAAGATCCTGTGGGGTCTTAACTGATTGGGTACCAGGAATGTTTCTTCTAATGGGAGAAGACAAGAACTAAAAGACAGAGTTTAGAAACAGGAAACCTTTCCTCTCAAAATGGAAATGAGGGGAATTCATTTCTCTGAGAAGGTCAATGCAATGGTTTTCCCTAAAAAAAACATGGAGCAAAGTCTTTGAATTTATTCATGGCTGAGTTGAATTTTTAATAAACAATCGAGCCAAGAGTTTGAGGAGCAGACAGCCAAGTGGAGTTGAGATCACAATCAAATCTATTGAATATGATCTTATTGAATGGTGGAATAGGCTCGAAGAGCTGAATGGATGACTCCTACTCCAAAGTCCTTTACCTATCCGACGAGAGTAATTTATATACTGTGTCCAGGTTCAGGACTATAAACATCATTTGTTTCTCTTAAACTTATCATGGGTGAATATTTTGAAATAAAGTAAAACAAGTGGGGCCACCAGACTGATGACTTATGAACCAGCAACCAACGAAGACTGATATTTTTGGTTAGAGACAAAAAAACTGCAGATGCTGGAATTCAAGGTAGACAAACAGGAGGCTGGAAGAACACAGCAAGCCAGGCAGCATCTGGAGGAAAGGAGAAGTCAACATTTTGGGTATTACCCTTCTTCAGTCCTGAAGAAGGGTAAAGTGATGTTCTGTCACATTCTATTACCCAAGACTATTTTATAGCTGCTTTCTTTGAAAAAAAATTCACTTTACAATCTTTATATGCCATAGGATCCACAACCGAAGTAACTCAGTACCCACATTCTGGACATTCTGGTCTAGTTCACAATCCTTTAAGTGGCCATGCAGTGATTACAACGGGTGTGTCTTCAGCAATCCATCATGTTCAAATCTGTAAGTTTCCTGACAGGAGTTTGAAGAAACTACTCTTTTTAAAAAGTCCTAATTATAAGAGTACCTAATGCTCCTTTAATATTGCACTAATACTTATTTTAAATTCAGTTGTAGTCCAATTTTATTGAAAAGTAAGGGAAGATATTGTTAATATTTCTGATGATGTTCACCCTTTGATGACGAGAACAGTCATGACCAACGGGTGATTGCAAACCTTTTAAAATAAATTGCAAGTGATACAAATGGAAGGAATTGAAGATTTTCAATACTTGAATCCCTTTTTTGGAGTATGCAGGAAGTTTTCTTAGTTAAAATGTACTAGTGCAAGAAGTCAACTGATTTGTAAGCTTCCAGATTGACAATCACCATTTAACTTGAATTTTTTCTTCTTTCTTGCAGCATCACCAGAGACTCCACTTCCGTCGCCGTCTTCTGGTTCAGGAAATGAAGACTATAAACTGCATCCTGTTGCTCAGATTCAGACTCCGTCTGCACGTATGCTGCCTCAAACCATCGTTCCCAAGCAGGAAATATTGTAAAATAATAAACCAATGTAATCCCACACTGACCATGTGCAAAAACATATACCAATTTACAACAGGCACTTCTCCAAACCACAAATGTCAGTTAATATGGAAAGAAACAGAAAGTGTGTTGTGAGCTGTTAACTAGCATGTTTGTAAAGAGAATGATCATAAGTATTCATACCACCTCATATCATTAATACATGTAGAAGTCAAAAATGTGGAAAAATATCGAATATATCTATACATAATTCATCTTAAATTTCCTCTGTACTTAAACCAAGAGACACATAATCTAGCACAATCATAGAATTTTAGGTGTAGGTTAGTTATGCTCAAAAGTCCAATGCACTCAAATCTCCTCAATTTATAACAACTGACTTTCAACATCTCCATCTGAACCATAAGTCTATCCATAAAACCAGCTCTTCTCATAAATTAAAAAGGTGAAGTGAGAGTGACTACCATTGACATCAAGGCAGCATTCAACCAAATATGGAATCAATAAGCACTAGCAGAACTGGAGTGAATGGGAATCAGGGGGACATCTCAAGGCTGGCTGGAGTTATGCTTTGCACAAAGAAAGTTGACTGTGATTGTTAGAAGTCAATCACTTTGGCCCAAGATGTCTCTGCAGGAGTTCCTCAGGGTAGTTTCCTAGGCTTAACCATCTTCCGATGTTTCATCAATGATCTTCCCTCCATCATAAGCTCAGAAATGGGGGTGTTCACTCATGATTGCACAATGTTCAGGACATTCGTGGCTCATCAGATACTGAAGCAGTCCATGTTCAAGTGCAGTAAGATCTGGACAATATCCAGGTTTGGTCTGACAAGAAGCAAGTAACATTCACACCACTCAAATTTTTGATTTAATTTGATTTATTATTGTCACATGTACCGAGATATAGTGAAAAGTATTGTTTTGTGTGCTATACAGGGAAATCCTATCTTATATAAGTACATCAGCGTAATAGAACAGAATGCAGAATATAGTGTTACAGCTACAGAGAAGGTGCAGAGAAATATCAACTTCCATGTATGGGAGGTTCAGAAGTCTGATAACAGCAGGGAAGAAGCTGTTCTTGAATCTGTTGGTATGTGTTTTCAAGGGGAAGTGCCAGGCAATGGTCATTTCCAACAAGAGAGAATCTAACCATTCCCTTTGACATTCAAATAAATGAAACAAAGATGTTGGAAATCAGAAACAAAAACAGAAATTGCTGGAGAAACTCAGCAGCTCCACCAACATCTGTGAGGAGAAAGCAGAATTAACACTTTGGGTCCAGTGACCCTTCTTCTGAACTGGACAAGGAACGTTAATTCTGCTTTCTCTCTACATATGCTGCTACAACAACTGAGTTTCTCCAGCCCTTTGGCATTCAGTTGCATTACTGCTGCTGAATCCCCCACTATCAATGTCCTGGGGTTCACATTTACCACAAACTGAGGTGAAATATCCATTGTTGGGCACAAAAACAGATCAGAGGTTAGGAATTCTGCAGGGAGTAGCTCACCTCCTGTCTCCTTAATGCCTGTCCATATATCACAAGGCACAAGTCAGGACTTTGATGGAATACTCCACAATTGCCTTGATGTGTGCAGCTCCAATCACATTCAAAAAGCTTTACGTCATCCTGGACAAAGCAGCACATTTATTCTGCACCCTAACCACAACCTTCGTATTCACTCCCTTCCCCATTGAACAGCTTTGGCAGTAGTGTGTAGTGTAGTAATTCACCAAGGCTCCATTGACAGCGCCTTCTCAACCCACATCTCTACCAATTAGAAAAGGCAACAGATGCATGGGAACACCACCACCTGCAAGTTCTCCTCCAAGTCATGTACGATCCTGACTTGGAGTATGCAGGCACAAACATGTAAATAAGAAAGCTAATTTGGATGTTATTCTTTATTATGGCATAAGTTGAACATAAAAGTAAAGAGGTTATGCCTCAGGGCACTGGAAAAACCACATCTTGAATGCTCTGTGCAGTTTTGGTCTGCTTTCTCATTTAAGGTAAGATGTAAATACTTTGGAGGCAGATCATAAGAGATTTACTATTGATTCCTGGAATGAGCAGATTGTCTTATGAGGAAAGGTTGAACAGGTTGGGCTTGTTTCTACTGGAGCTTAGAGGAGTGAAGAATGACTTGATTGAGGTGTACAAGACCCTGAGCAGTCTTGACAAGGTGGGGATAGAAAGGATCTTTCCGCTTGTGGGTGTGTCTCCAAGTTTGAATCACAGTTTTAAAATTAGGGATCGCCCTTTCAGGACAGAGATGAGGAGGAATTTCTTCTTTCAAAGGTTGAGCGACTTGGAACACACTGTCTCAGAACACAGTGGAGGTAGGGAATATTTTTAAGACAGAGGTGCTTTTTAGGAAAGGAAGCAACGGTTATCAGAGCCAGATGGGATGTGAAATCTGAAACACAAACAGAACAGCCATGATCTTCTTGAAATGCAGAACAGTCTTTAAGAGATGAATAATCTACATTGGCTCCTATTGCATATATTCATGTGAGCTGCGTCACTGTGTCTTCGATGTTGCTGGGTCAATATTCTAGAACTCCCTCCCTAACAGCACCATATCTACAACCCATGGACTGCAGTTGTTCTAGAATGCAGCTCACCACCACCTTTTCTAGGGCAATTAGAGATAGGCAACATAGGTAGACACAGCCAGTAAATTCCCACATCCCATGGGTGAATGAGTAAAACGTCAGACATTAGTTTTCTATATTTCTAGTCGCTTTGAAGCTCCTTCAAAATTACGACTGGATTTTCTGAGCTGTAGCAGAAAACTGAAATCTTTCTAAAGTTTAATCACAGTTGTTTGAGAACCTGAAAGAAAATAGCCAGAGACTGAGTCGTTTTTTGTCTTTTTATTTGCATACATTTTTTATGGTATGTGGCATTGAAAATGGAAAAGCTTCCCTGATTGCAGGTTGCTAACCATGTGTGTCTAATGTGCACATTTGATGTTTAAACGAGTTGAAACTTTAATTTTCATGTGTGGCAGGAATCTTAGAACATAGGAACAGGAGTAGGCCATTCAGCCCCTTACAATCTCCAAAACTTTCCTTTAGCCCTGATTGTTTACAACAATTTTCATATTCAGGCATCTTCTAATGGGATTGACAGAAAATCTGAGCGTAACTAAATATGGCACAATGGGTACCTTTTTCAGCCTAACTTCTGGATTGTGCCCATGGAGTAAGTTCAAACCCATCATATTGTACTGTTTAACAAAAGTAAAATTGAGAATCTCTATAAAATGTTTGGAGAGAATTTCGTGCATCATGCCACTGGCTTTGTTGAGTAATCAAAGATCTGCAGCATTTTAGAGAATTTATGTTTCATCATTGAAATGTTCCACTGATTTATTAAATAAAACAAAAATCAAAAAAACATTTTGTACATAAATCATGTGGTATTATAGCATTGTATTTCAGAACACATTGCCTGTAGTTAATAATTTCATTAAGGCCTTCCTTAAGTTTTCTGGATGGCTCAGCTGCTTAGGGGTGCAAACATCACAATCACACACACCAGGAACACCTTAGGATCAAATTACCTTGCTTCACTAACTTGTTAGTTTCACAAGTTGGCTGTGTTGCAAACTCTTGGACAGTGAAGAGCATCTTTGTATCTTTAACCCAGCAAGAAGTCAATGTACAGGAAATGAATAGAGACAAGAGGGCAGTGAAAGAAGATACAGAATTGAGAGGAGAGGAAAATGCCTTCTGGGTTCGCAAATTGAATTGACTCATTCACATAACGGCCTCTTCTGCATTGTGCTTGAAGAGATGGAATATCCAGAAGGAGCAACTGTAATTTACTTCTCAGTAAACTTAGTGTGAATTTATCACGATTTTCTAGTGTGAATGTTAGCAGCAGCAAAGAATACATTATGCAGCCAAAGAAATGTCTGCAATCAAACAAAATAAATAGGGTCCAGACTGATTTTGAAATTGCAATCTTTTGCAATCTCAATAGGTTTCCAGTGATGTTGTTCATTGTGGCTTCCATGATTTATATCATCTGAAATCTCATTGAGGTTCATGCCTTGAAAACACTCTGTTGTTCTCTTCTTCAGTTGTGTCTTCAATTCCACAAATATTATTTTAAAAAACAAAATTATAAAATATTGCAAGAGTTACAATGGAAAATATATTTTTAAATCTTTACCTGAACCTTGGAATGTCTGACAACCAAGTCTAAATTAAAACATTCACAAATATCCTTATTGAGAACAGTGAAATTTGAATTGCTTCTGCAACTGTTGAACATCATCTGGCAGCAGCTGAAAAGTTCAGACAAAACTGGTTGTTTTGAATTTCTTCCCTTTTATGAGAACATTCAATGAATATTATCACTTACACTGAAAAGCTTAATTGTTTCCACATAAATCCAAAAATCTCAAAGGTTTTTTCCAATGCAAGCTTAATTCTTCAATTTAATCATACCACACTCGAATCACAGCAAACTCAATATGCACTTACTTCTGTAACTTAAGCAAAAAAAAAATGGACAAACAATTCAAATAATTATTAGCGATCGACAGGAAAAATAAATCTGTTGTTGACACTACTGAGAACAGCTGCTTCACCATTATAGGTTAAATGCAAATGGAGAGACAACTGTGTGACAACAACCAACGAGAGTTCCAGTTATTACTAAGCATTGGACAATCTCTGGTTATTCTCTATTCCAATCTCGAATATTTGCTGCTTTGTATTTTTTTAAAAATGCGAAAATTGTGAGTTCCTTAGTTTTGACAATATCTGAAATATTGTACTCGTAGAACAAAGAACATTTGCAATCACCTCAAACCAAATTATGGAAAAACACTGTTGCAATAGGTTTGACAGCAGCCATTTAATTCCAGTGCACTACGGATTCGGACAACTGCCCAGATTTTGTAAATGTAACAACAGCATAAAAGTCAGTGCTCATTGGTGTTACTTCTGTGAAACTGATGAAATTGAAGGCGCCTGATCGAGGGATGTGGCAATAAGAAACGTGAGTACGTACACGTCCATTTCCCTTCCCTTGATTCTGACCACCTCCTCTTCGAGCTGGCAATCCCATTCTGCAACCACTCAAACATTGCTCCAGTGATCCACGGCCCCTCCTTGGGTGCTTTACCGAAACAGCCACCACTCCTGGCAGTGAGGCGAATGGAGAGTTGCTATTCTCCGATTGGCTTCTTGTTCTCAGTGAGTGGGATTTCCAACCCTATGATCCTAAATCCTGGGGAATTCTATAAATCAGCCTGATGAGCAGTGACTGGGCGCTTACTTTAAACCTGTGCTTTCCCCAATATAAGCAACGTGAGACTCACTCAAATTTTACAATCACTTTGACCCACAAGCCAATGGGCAGAATCTTGTAAGACCTTGGGAGTCTTGGCTGCTGGCTGAAAGATCTTCCCTACTCAGCAGCACCGCCATGAATATAGAGGCTGCTGCTGATAAAACACAGTGCCAAGGCCTAGCATTGCCCCTGGATCTTAGATACAGGTTGTGATGATGGGTGGATTCATGGGGAAATGGAAGAGGGAGGTTAGCAGCAAGATTAGGGGTTTGATCTCAGGTGGTTCCTTCATCTTTGGTCCCTCAATTAAAAACTCACAAATATACCAGGATGCTCCTGTGTTGGAAACCCCTGCCTGCTGTGGTGGTGGGAAGAGATACTTAATGAGGTATTCA